CCTGCTGAGAAAATAATCAATAAAAAGATAACCCCAGACCAAAGGCTGCTAGCACTGCTTGAATTACAGCACAGGCTGTAGCAGCAAGCAAGATCTTGTAACCCAGGAGAAATCTCTAAATAAAGACACTCTAGAAACAATTTTGCTTTGTCTGTCCCATTACTTCACTGGCTGAGAAGCGCAAGGCTGGGGAAAAACAGGAAAGACTTCAAGGAGCGCAGCAGCAGAACTCTTGAGAAGCACCTCCTTCCTCCAGCTTCGACCAGGTAACATTTTCCAGACAGACACATTATCTAGGGAGAACGCCCAGGCTGCGGGCCCATGACCTCCCACAAAACTCAGCAAGGTCAGACTTGGCATTTGTTATATTTATTAAAACAGGGAAAAAAAAGAAAAAAAAAAAGAAAAGACACTTAAAAACTTCTTCTTCAGTTTTGCCCTTTATCATGGGGAAAACAAAAAAAGATACATATAATCTTTTGCAAAAACATCATGCAGAAAACTTTCCTTTCAGCTGTCACAAATGGAATATTTCACTGCAACACAGAGCTAGCAACAGACGGGGGTGCTGACAAGAACTTCCTGAAAGCTTACCGCAGTTTCACGCCTTCATAAGGAAGGATTAAATCTGTCGCAGGTTTCCTAGGCAAAATCCACTAACACATCTAAATAAACACCCTACGTCCGAATAACTGGAGCATTTGTTACTTCCAGCTTGCTCGGCAAGCTCTGTGCGTGTCACCTCATCACCCCGCAGTCCTGGTGACACCTCTACTTACCAGGTTCTCTGCATCGCTGTCTCCTGCGGCTGCAGACTTGGAAGTACAAATCGGACCAGAGGCGCTTCCGCCGTTCTGCGGAGATGTTTTTGCTTCACGTGCCGCATCTCTCTCTTGATTTGCACAGCTTGTAAAGTCCTCCCTGTTTTCATTTTCCTTCTTCTGAGGCACAGAAATACTTCCCAATACACCACCTGCCTCAAGAATTTCGTTTCTATCAGCTGAATTAGACTTTGTAGTTGGCGGTGGTCCGGGCTGATGGTTTTCTTGCAGAGATTTGGGGAGACCCTGGAGAGACTTAGTGTCTACAACTGGTTTTTTAGAGTGCGATTTCTTCCTGGCGGAAAAGAACGCTGCTCCCAACTGGAGTTTAAGGGCTGGTTTAACTGTCATGCTTAGGACTCTGAAGGGTGAATCCATCTTCTTTTTAATTAGGCAATTCACATTCTCTTTCTCCACACTGGCTTTTCCCGCTGGTGTCTCTCCCTTTGCCTTCTTAAGTGTTTTGGGGACGGTTTTGCCATGCTTGGAGTTGGCTGCGTGCTTGGTTGGCTTTGAGCTTGTATTCCTGCTCAAGTTCACGTTCATCTTCTCAGTCCTGCTGGCAACTGGGAGATTTTCATCCCTGTGCCTCTCACCCAAAGAGAGGTTCTCGTTCAGTCGTTTCCTCTCAAGAGGAGTAAGGTATCGCTTTTCCTTGCTATAAAAAGACACCGCAGGCACAAGGGGCTTGTACGAGGAAGCAGTCTCTGGGGATAATTTCCTTGAGGACTCCCTCTGTGCAGATGTGGGAACACTGGCTGCCTGGAGGGGTGAAATATCCAGCCTCCTCGACAGCGCTGGCTTCACCGGGACAGCCTCATTTTCTTTCATCTCATCGCTGGAGCTTGACGACCATTGTATTTGAGAAGCAAACCAATTATTTCTCGATTTTTTGAGTGGAGACAGACCTTCGGCAAAGCCTATAATCATTTTTTTCACAGGAGTCTCAAAGGCTAAGGATGAACTGTAAAAATAATTACGGAGCAAAACATCACATATACTACTGAAAGTTTTCTAATTATTGTTTTACTTAAATAACACTTAATTTTCACTCAGCCTAGTTGCCTGTACTGATATATGCCCTGTAAAAATATAAATATCAAATATCAAAACATAATATATAAATACCAAAAGGCCTAAGACTGTCTTCACCATTCTCCACGTTTTGTTTTTTTTTTTTTAAATAACAAATCTATTTTCCTGCCTGAACTTGTTAAAGTACCTGGGAACAACAGTCATTCTGCTTTCTGGAATGCTGCTGACAGGATTAGCGCTATTCATGATTAAGGAGGGGAAAAAATATTTTATTTGTTTCAGGGCAACTCTGTCAACTCAGATTTGTGCCTCTGAAAAAGCTTGTGCATCCCCCACCCCCGTATAATAAAGCTGGGGGGGATCTCACAACATTTTACAACAGTTTCTGAAAGGCACGCACTGAAATCTCACTCTGACAGCTATTTCAGAATCTAAAACCTCATCAGCAAATCATTAATAGCTTCTGAACCTGCTGCCCAAAAGGAGATAATACATCTATATGAAGGATACGTTTGGCCATTCCTGGTTGTAACATATTTGGCGCACAACATAGCGAGGTGTTTCCTCAGCGAGTATTTACACCCTATCTCAGGAATTTGTCCTTCCAGAAATCAAAACTTCACTCTTGGTCTCCCTCCCGACCCCAGAAATATTTTTGTGGGGGAAGGACAGGACAAGCATGAGAAAAATCTATTCAGCTGGTAGAGTTACGAAAGAATGAGAAACAAGCTATTCTTTTGGATTTAAAGCCCAGCTTTTTGTTCATGGCCAGTGGCTTCTCCTCCACTAGATTTACGGGGAAAAAAAATCTATACTTTTTTTAGGTATACATAACAAAGGAACTATTTTTCTATTAACACTAGAAGACTATTCAGGTAATTTGTGCAGACCTCAGAATTTCTGTACTGTGTATCAAAGTCTTTCCAAATGGAAAAGACTGAGGTTTTACCACAAAGAAATGCAAACACCAGGGGGTTTATTTCTTAAGTTTCTAAACAATCAGTTTCTAGGTTTCTGCTGGTTTTCTGACCTACTCAGGGCTAGGTCTGTGTGTGAATGTCATGTACAGGGATGTGCACTCGACAGAGGTGACTGCCAAAACACGATACCTTTCTTTAAATAAATTTCAAAAAAAAAAAGCCCTAATGCAACCTACTAATGTGAGCCTGCAAAGCATCAGCTCAGTGTAATGGCTTTTCTCATTTCTAATTCTGTGCTTTGCTGTAGATTGAAGATAATTTTTAGCTTCGGTTTCCCTATACATTAGATGAAATCTCTCAAGATGCTCAGTACGATATAAAAATGTTACAAGTCACTGAATAATAAACATGGGATGATGCTAACTGTGTCTCCAAACCATCTTAATATTTTTTCCACTTTACATTAAAAGCTTTCAAGGATTTTAAACATCTGTTTTATTCTACGTGCAGCAATTAAGTTGTTTTTATAGGAAAAAAAAAAAAATCTGTGAAAAGTTAACATACCCATCGGTATCAGTAGAACTACGGCTCCTTTTCTGTGGGGTAACAGCTGCCATGTCTTCACCAAAGCGCCTACAAGAACACATTTTTAATAGCCTGAAAGAGATTTCAGGTTAAAAAAAACAACAAAACAAAACAACAACAAAATAAAGAATGAAGAGAAGGTGGGGGACTGGAAAGAACACTGAGTGGAAGCAGTTCAGGCATGAGAGAGACTAGAACAACACAGGGTTTCAGTTGAGCATAAGCCATAAAACAAGTGCACTCAGAAAGGATCTTCCAGGTCAAGTCCAATTCTGTCATCGTGAACAAATGCATCCTAAAGTCCCTTTTCTAAAACGGAGTCAGATAATTCAGAAACGAGTTTTACTTTCTGTCTCTCACATTCCTCTCGCAAAGCTCATTCCAGACCTCACTAACGTGGTTCCTAGAAATCTGCTTGCTCCTGCCTATGTTCATGGTCAGTTTATTCCCATGAGGATTCCACATTGGCATTTACCTTCCATCCAAGACAGCTCTTTACCCAACAGACTTCTAGAGTTTCTCTCCCAGCTCCCTTCTTGCCAAATACCATAAACCACACTTTTTTAGCCTTCATTAACACAGTAGCCATTTAAACCAGTTTAACACTCGATGCTGTTTGTTCCATCTCTTCCAGTTTGAGATAATTATCGTACAATATTCACTTTTGTGTTACGTGGCGTTTCACAACTGAAACTGCAGAGTAAACAAATAGCCTGTATCCAAGAAGACTAATAACAAATATTCATAAACTGCTAGAAATAATAATTTATTCAATAATCTGCCAGCAGGGGGAAATTCCTCCCAACCTGCCCGCGTTAATGCATGGCTGGTTTTGGGGAAGCAGTGACTGATGACAGCCCAGACACGACAAGCTGTTGTCAAGCCCAGGAACACCAAGCAGCGGCAGAGGATCGAGCCAGGAGCAGCGTAGCTGCAGCAGGAGTTGTACAACCTCAGCACAGAGCAGTGCTGGCAGAGGGGAACTTCGAGAGAGGGCAGGCAACGCCTTAGAGGCGCAGGGCAACAATAACAAGCCTGCAGGTATCTGGGAAATAAGATATCAGGTGCAGATGAAAGGGAGAAGATAAGACAAGGACACACTGTTGGCAGGAGAGTCAAGGTGCACATATGGGGGGGAGCGATCCTTATAACTTGCGGTATTAACCTGAGGATCCCGTAGACAGCTCTCCACTGCCGGCCCCAGCCACCCACACCCCTTCCCAAAATGTTCATAGCCCAGTTCCCAGCCAGCCCCTCACCCCAGAAGCCCCTCACCTCAGTATTGCCTCAGACCTTCATCCCAGCACCCCACAGGCACCCT